GACCGCAAGATTAATCAATAGCCCCATGACTCAAAAATCCATTTAATATACTATAGTAATTTATCTAGTTAATTTTTCAATATTTTGTTTCACTTAAGCTCATAAATCTCAAATTCAGGTTCTAATCTTCTGAAAATTATTAATAATCAAATAAATATATGTAAAATTTATTTGAATTTCGCTAACAGAAATTACAGAAAAGTTCCAATCAATTTGGTCATCATTTTTAAATCAAAGTATATGATAGATTAAATTAATAAACATAATTTTTGCATTATTACAGCATTGAAAATGGGGAAAAAATCGCATTAAAATGATAGATTAGAAATTGAGAATTTCTAAGGACATCACCATTTTCCGGAATCTGGCGACATCAAAAAATGGGGGGTGGATGGTGTGCTGCTCCATATTCACGTCGAAATTATCTATGTCCGTGATTGTAATTGCAGCCTCGGACCTTCAAACAGTTGCAGGTCTCAATTATCATTAGACATTAGTGAGAGTAGTGTCGGAGAGAGAGAGAGATTCGACATTATACCTGGCCTGTGCTCTGCGCTTGGCCTGAGTTTTGCAGCCGGCGTCGACTGCATTCTTTGCCTTGAAGACTCTATTGAGCTCCTCCTATGCACAAACATTATTATCATCTCACAATCAACAGATTATCAAAAATCATTGGATCTATAGAATCAAACAATGCGAAAAAAGATGAAGACAAGATTAATTTGAAACCGGTTAAATCGAGAAGATCAGAGAAAATACCAAGAATCGATTCACATCATCTGCAACATAGCCAATGCACAACCAAACGATGGGTAACTTTGTTAAGAATGCAGACTGAATTGGCAGAGATAAAAATAATGAGAGAGCAAAGCACAGATCGAGTGCGAATCGTACCATAGAGAAAGTCAACTTTTCGTTTGTACACATTCACAACACCACCTAAGAAGAAGCCCGATTAAACCGAAATGAGAACTGATGCGAAAACTAAGCAGCAGAACTAATAATAAACGGAAATTCCATTATACGGATTATACGAAGCAAATAGCATCTAATGCAACTTACCCATTAGAATTCCCGAAAGCCTCAGAGCCATCGGAATTGAAGGGTTAAGGATCTCTTCACTGCAATGAAGATTAGAGACAACGATTAAGTTAAAAAGAAAATGGAATGAATGCAATATTAGCAAACATCCTGAAATAAAAATCGCACCAAATCAATGGGATATTGAGCTTCTCTAAATTTCTTCGCTTAATCTTGTTATTCAAGGTCGCAGCCATCCTGCATTCAAATATAGCTCAGAATCTGTTAATGAATCGATCAACCGGTAATCAAACCAGACAAACTTCACTGAAACAGAGACGAACACTCACCAGATCTGGCCGAGAGGAGCCTTCCTCGCAAGGAGCTGATGAGAGTAAAACATTGCTTTGTTCTTAGCTCAATTAGCTTGTATCCTTCTTCTTCCTCTGCTTCCTTCTTATCACTTGCTCCCAGCGGGAAGAAGATGCGGCAAGCTGCTATTTATATTCCGTTATACCGTACGCAAAGAATGAAATTACAGTACAGCCCATACGTTTTAGCAAAATTACTTCGCAAATCTATATCGCCCGATTTGTTCGTCAGATGATATCGACGGTTGTGATTCACGGGTTCTCGTCCTCTGGGTCGCTTCTTCTAGAAATTTAAACCCAGTCATCCGAGCACGCACTTTCTGTTATAATTACAGTTACACATTTCGCTTGAGGACGTTCCAATATATATATATATATATATTAAAAACAATGATTAACATTTTACATAAATACCGAAGAATTTCCTATATATTTACACATACAATACTTAAACTTTATTTTTTGCATTTTAAATACTCTTATA